TTCGTGGAGTCTTTGTCAGAGTCTGGTAGTTCTTCCATGGTGGATGTTAACATGTCATATTAAGATTGTCTCACATTGTATCTTCTGTATGGGTCATTTCATGCCTCTGCCCTAAATTTTTTAAGTCTATGATCTTGTAATTAATTTTATTCTGTGCAACGGACCAATCAACTGAGGTATTTACTATTTCCTATAATTTTAGATAAATGTTAGGCTAAGTTCATGCCATGTTTTCTTTCCTTCAAAATGGTTGATCAACTGCACTGTGAAAAATTTGCCCTCTTGGAGAATTTCCTCTCAGCACTGTCTTTTAAAAGAACTTTTAAAGTTCAAGTGGGGCTGTCACGGCAGATGTATCTCAGTTCCAGTTTGAAACCCACTGTAGAGCTGAACTATCCATACATATCAACACTTTTTTCTTGTGTTTTTTTCTCTTTCATCCTCTCCAGAGATATAAAAGACATGCGGTTCCCTATGTACACAGCTTGGCTTTGCTCTTCCGTTCTCTTGTGCTCAGTCACATTTGTACTACTTTCATTTTACAATGAATTCCTGCTGGGCCAATCTGACTTTATGAGTTAGTAGATCTAACAGAATCCGCTTCCTGATTGGGAGTTCTGGCTATAAGACCATTGCTAATAGTTAGATGTTATGTCAAAATGAAGAAGAAAGGAGCACAAAAAGCAGCTTTCAAAGAGCATATAATTTTCTGTTGAAGATTGCATGGTCTTTCTGCAGAGCTCTACTGGTCTGAGTTATGATTCCTCCATCTGGTATTTGCTGTAAACTCTATGTATCATCTTCCAACACTGACATCTCTAGAGCTGCACTGTGTGGCTCCACACTCACAGAAGGTTGATCTTTACTCTAAAACCAGAGCAGAATTCTCTCTGCTTCATTCCTTTTGAAGTTGGCAGCCTTCTGTCTCACCTAGCATTTGTCCTTTTATTGAGGGGATTTTTCCAGGGTTGGCACACTGAGATATTTTTATTTGTCCTTTTTCTTGGGGGAAGATTTTCCAGGCTATCTACATCACTGTACCTGTATGATTTTATTGAAATAAAGGATTTCTAAATTCGACATTGCCTTCAGGCTCCCATACCTAGTAAGGAATCATTACATTCTTTGAAGTTCTGAAGGTAGAATGGGTGGTTAGACTTTTCTTTAGATAGTGTCATAGGATCCATTCTTGACTGTCACAATTATATGTATCTATAACGTGGATACCGCTGTATTAAGATGTAGATATTCTCTTCAGGAGAGGCAATTGCCTAACAGGTCAGCAGATAACATCCACATGAGCTGGAAAACATAGTTCTGAAATCTGAAGAGGCTGCTGATTAACACAGTATTATTTTAACTCCAAGCTTTGTGTAGAGATATATTTGGCATACTAGTATTTAAATCTACTGATGTTTGATTATTTATCATCTTTCTTTAGGATGGAGAAAACAAAATTTTACGTAGGAATTGTCTAGGCAAAAAGACTTGCCCTTCTAGTAGGATAATATAAAGTAAAGAAAGGAATCAGAGCCTAATGTGAGGTTATAAAAGAGAAGCAAAGGGGAATCAGATATAAAATAGTAGATACGGTACCAGAGTTTAACTTCAATGGGAAGTAGGAGTGACCATTTGGAAACTTTCAGATAGATATGAGTCAGGGGCCTATGGTGTAATTGCCCAAGACTCTGCAAGATTCTAGGCACTAGGTTCTGGAAGTAGTAGAATGTTTAACACAGTGCACAATGGTGACAGACAGCAGCAGAAGAGAGGTGCGCTCTGATCTCCCTTCTCTGGATTCAAGGTCCTAACAGGAGGATAATATAGGGTGCATATAGGGTAAGATAAAAGAAATATGAAGAGTAGAGGTTCTTTCTGGCTTCAACAGAATAAACATGAGAGTTCATCCTGACTTCGAAGAAGAGCTTTTGGGATTTGATCTCAAGTTTAGCTCTAAGTGTCTAGGATGCACTTACCTTCTCTACAAGGAAGCTAGCCAAGCACTGATGAGGACACTTTCTGGAGGGCATAGACTTGAAGTCAAACAGAGTGCAGAGGTACCCTACAGAATGGAACAAAACACTTTCAAATTATACATTTGACAAGAGGTGATTGGCAAAATATAGAACAAAGTATAAATATTCAATAGTGAAACAAACAAAAAAACCCAGAATAAACACAATGGCCAATTGTTCTAAATAGACATTTATTGGAAGAAGATATACAAATAACTAATAGGTATATGAAAAATTCTTACTGTCAGTAATAATCAGGGAAATGAAAATCAAAACCACAGTGAGGTATACTTTGCTGTAGTAAGAAATGGCTGTCAAAAGAGTAAAGATAATGAATGGTGGTGAGAATGTGGATAAAAGGGAATGGTAGCATACTTTGATGGGATTACAAATTCATAAATACATTATGGAAAGTAGTAAGGAGGGTCTTCAAAAAGCTGAAAATAGAATTACCAGATGTTATGGTTTTTAGTCTGGTTGTTCCCCAAACTCTCAGGGGATCAAAGGTTCAATTTTTGGAAGATAATTGGAGCATTAGGCGTTGTAGTCATTGATGGATTCAATCACTGAAGAATTCAGAAGCCAAGTGTGCTTTTGAGAAGTGGGTACTGGTCACAGAGATGGAGTCCTAGGGGCATGGCTTGGAAGGGTATATTTCCTTCCCTCCTTCATTCTCTCTCACTTCTTCTGGGTCCCATGACATGACCAGGTAGCTCCTTCCATCATGCTGTTTCTGTACTGAAGTCATGACTGAAACTTCTAAATGTGCAAACCAAAATAACCTGCTGGATATTGTGTCTCTGTGGTAAGCAAAGTGGCCAAGATACCATGTGACCCAAAAATTCCATCACTGCATACATACCCCAAAGAAATTAAGTCAGTATGCTCAGAAGACATTTGTACTCTTACTTTCATTGCAGCACCGTTCAGAAGTCAAGATCTGGAAGCAACTTGTGTCTCTCAAACTATGGATGGATAAAGAAAATACAGTGTATATACAAAATGAAATATGACAGAATGGAATTCTGTCTTTTGAGGCAAGGATGGACTAGAGGTTGTTATGTTAACTGCAATGAGTCAGACACAAAGAGACAACTATTCTAGGATCTCATATATGAAATTCTAAAAGTTGATCTCATAGACACTGAGAGGAAGATAGAGGGCAAGGAGAGTTGAGAGGAGGAAGGGCAAAAAAAGTTGGTGGGTAGTCTGATAGAGGCACAAAGATCTGGTGTGGTGTTGCAAGTGGCTATGGACTAACAATGTATGATGCCTTTCAAAAATTAGAAGAAAAAAGTTTTGAAAATTTTACCATAGAGAAATGACAAATGTTTAAGCAGCTAGTTGTTTAACTTGGTTTAAACATTCCACAATGTGTACAAGTATCAAAATACTGCATGGTGTCCTATTCACTAATGTATCATTTTATGTGTTTATCAGTTTAAAATAAATTAAAATTACATTTTTAAAAACTAACTTTTGATTAGAAATGCATGGCAAAATGAAAAAAGATGGTGCAACTGAAATTACTTATAGCACTGTAATTTAAACATTAGAAACACTGAGAACTGAAGTGTATTATTTCTTTTCTTAAAAACCTTATAAAAATAGTTTTAACAGTACACGCCTTCTCTTCTTGTCATATAACTTAACATATGGGATGAACATCTTTTTGTGCCTTGGTGAATTGTCACACTCCTTTCTAAGTTTGGATCAGCTTCCAACATTTTATCCTTTGTGCTTTCAATGTCATGAAGTATCTTAGAGTTTCTTTAATGTGAACATTTTCCTGGCATCATTTCTTCTGGGATATCTTCATCTTTTTGTCACAATGCTTTACTTTCTCAAACTGGTAAGTTGTTCACCTTGTCTAAGTTCCTCTGGCTGAGTGTCTAGAGTTTTTAAATGATGACAGTGTCAACATCCTAGTAAGCAAGGTCTTGAATATATGTTTAATTTGAATTTCACTTCCAGTGTTATCACTTTTCATTTTTTCACTGTGCTTTTATCTCTGTTGATCAACTCTTTTTCAAGTATCTATTTTCATAAAATGTCAAATGGATATATTACTAGGTGGCGTGAAGGCAACACAACACATTTATGTGAAGCAAATCTTAGATACTACTAACTTATGACTGACAGATTTTAGAACCGGTGGCATGACTCGTTACTGTTCATGAGTAGTTCTTTTATTTTCAAAGTGATTTTTGGAATACTTATCCCTGAAGACAGACAGTTGATATACTGTGGCAATTGAAATTTGAACTGTATTGTTGGGAAAGTTAACTAAACTGTGAAAACTGAAATTTACATACATTGGAATTATTTAAAGCAAACATTAACTGTAAAACAACAAGTGTACTTCTTAAGCCTTTGTCTTTCTGAGGGCTTAGAAATTCACAGTGATTGACGTGAACTTTACATATAGTACATGTGAAATTATTAAGTGTACAATTAGATGAATATGCTAATAAAAGTGAGTTCCCAAATTTATTCTTTTCTATGCTTTTTCCTGTGTGAAGTCTTTTCTTCTGGAGTCTGTACAAATCACAGGAGACACACATTCCAGTTTGGGAATTGTGATACATACAGTTCATCCTGGTGGATGACCAGATGTGTTTTTTATTTGGAAAAGTCACACAACAAGAACTTCAGTAGAGCTGCCATATTTTAAGAAAAAAATAATGTTTCATTCATCTGACTGATTTTCTTGAAGATTGCTAATCTTTATAATTCCTTTCCTTAAATATGCTTATTAGGCTTCTAAAAGTAGATATCTATAAACAAATTAACTTTCCTGATAAGTCTGAATATTTACTCAGTTTTAATAAAAACTGTTTATATCCTTCACTTCAAATCTTTTATCTTAGATCAAATGACAGATGTAGACATAAAGAAAAGCAGAACAACAATAGCAACAAAAACTAATAGAACACTGCCCTGCTGTTTGTTCTCAGGACTGTCTGGTACTGTGTTTCAGGAAAAAGTCCTAAAAGCTTTCCAGATAAGTTGGACTTGACTGACAGAGGCTGCCTGCATCATTTGGCAACCACACTTTTGATTGCCACTTATTTGGGGTTCTCTGCAGAAGAGATATCTATCTTTGGATGACTCTCTGTCGGGCACTCCTAGAACCTAATGCAGAGCAGGACTACGGTGATTCTGGGACTTCTGTTTGGTGAGTTGAGTAAATATGAATAATTCTTCATTTTAAAAAATCATGCTAAATGGAAGCATAGAGTAGAGTGCTAGGGGTAATCAGAGACAGAACTGCACTTCCTCCTCTCTGCTTATTTCTATACTTTAGACTAGACATAAAGTGAATAATTTCCTCTCAGATTAAACTCAAAAGAGGGCCCATTTGTACTCACGATTAGATTATTAGAGCAAGCTGTTTGGAGGAACTTTTGAATTATAATGAAAATAATTTTTTGTCTCGGGGCCTAGTGAATGCTGTCTTGGTTGCCTCATATGAGGAACTGTTTATTCCATTTTCCAGGATTCTAATTCTTAGTAATAAAAATGTATGGGAACTTTCAAAGAATATTGTTAAAGGTAACTGACTTAGCAAGCAGTAGGGAACTGAGCAGATTCCGTCAGGGTCTTTATCATATTTAAATTGTACTCAAAATATTACTTTTCTAAAAATTTTATAATCTTGAGCTGTGAATTCTGTTTGTTACTGAGAACTAGAAACAAAAAATAAATACTGGGACTGTCACTCATAAAATTCAACATAGTGAGAGAGGTACATTTGGGATAATTATCTCATGTAATAACATTTAGAATAATTGATTTCATTTTTGCTAATATTCTTCTGGTAGTATATGTTTATGTAAGAATTTGAAATAGTAAAAAAGGGCACAATAATAAGATCTCTCATAATATCATTTATCTACAAATCTACTTCTCAGATAAAATACTTTTTAAAGTTCTAGTTATTTCTGCTGGTGTATCATTCTTTTATGAATATTCTTGTACCTAACAATTTTAGACAGCATCTGTTTATGCATCTGTATGAAAAATAGATGTTAATTTAATCTTATTACTGTTACACTTTTTTCCTTACTCATAATTATATTATGTATTATGTATTTCTATTCTTTCACATTTATTACTTCATTATACACTTCTTAATCTATTAACATTGACAGTATCATTTGATTCTTATTCATGTAAAATGAAAAAAAATTATATTTTTGTTTATAAATTTTCAAGTACTTTATGTTTCTATTAAACTTGATAACTCTAGTTATAATTCTCTTTGGGAAATAAGCCAACTGGCCAACCTTTCTGTGAGCTGCACAAGCCACGTGAGGGCCCAGGAAGAGGAAAGTCAGGTAGTGTCTCCTGTAAGCCTATTGTTATGCGGGCTGAAAATCACCAATTCCCCACCACCCCTATAAGCAACCAGCTGGTTCCGAGGACAGGATGAGTTGTTAGCAACTGAAGTACAAAAAGCAACTGAATGCTTGCATTATTTGGCTGATTTTTCAGGCCTGGGGCCAATGATCTGAGCATCTTTTGGGAGGATGACAGTATGCAATATAGCAAGATGGCGGATTTCCTTCTACCTTGATTTTGAAATCCAGTACTGTTCTCACTGTTATGTTTTGTTCTGATTAATTGTTTTTGCTTTATTCAGTATTCTGTTTTGATTGGTTTTATTTTGTTTTCATTTGGCTGTTTCTGATGGCATGGACAAGTATTAGAAACATAACAAAAGATACTATGGTAGCCATTATTCTTTTCCTATTATCCTGCTTCGAAGTTCTGTACTGATTTCACTACTTTGTTTTGATTGAATTGATTGTTTTGTTTTGATAGATTTTATTATCTTTAAAACAAAAAAATTCTTTTGGGGGTCAGTGTCAAATTGCTTGCCTAGCTGTACAAGACCCTGGGTTCAATTCAGAGGAACACTAAGTCACTTTTAAAATTAATTAAAAATCAAGTGGTAGGATATCAACAGAAAAGGAAATGCATTTGTGTAGTTTCAAAATATTTTCATTTTTTCTTCTAGACTCCATATCTTTTCTTTTTTGTGGCACACTTAGCACAAGTTTAAAAAATAATTGACTTGAATAGTATTCATATACTGATGACAAAGTTTTTTCCACTTAATCTACATTTATGAAAAACTTTGTAAATTTTTATGTGTCTGAAAGTCATCTTTTGGCGCTTATGTATTATTTCATTTAATTATGTTTGTTTTGAGATGAGATTTTGGTGTGTGGTCCAGGCTGATCTTGAACTCACTGTGTAGCTGATAGTGTCCTCAGACTCATGGAAATTATCCTGGCTCAGCCTCCCAAGTGCTGGGATTACAGGTATGTGCCACCATGTCCAGCTATTTCTTTTCCTTTGGAACTTTGAAGACAATGTTCCTTTGCTTTTAAACATGCAGTCTTTTAAAATTAGATATATAACTGTAATGAGTTGTCTTCATGTTTTTTTCTGAAAGCTTATAGAATTTTCTTTTTCCTTGTACTTAAATTTATTAGAATGTGTTTAGAAGTAAGTCTTTTGAAATAGTATTTCTGGTACCATTTAATGTACTAATTTTTTCAGTGATGCAATATTGTCTTCTATTATGTCTTTGATTATTATTTTTTTCTGTAATTTCACCAGAATAAACTTCTATTTTTAAACTACTTTTGGATTTGCTTAGTGGTTAGGAGAAAATGCCTTATTTATCTCAACCCTCATAGTGATTTTTCCAGTTATATTTTTGCTTTATAAGAAATATTTCTTGTTCTTTAATTGATACTTTATTTATTTTATAGATGACAGGTTGGTGTTTTTTTAGGATACTATACATGTTCATTAATCAATCAAATACTACAAGTTATTAAAAGTTGTCTTCTGTAACTTGAAATGCTGTTGTTTCACTCAAAATCATTCATTCTAATTATCTTCACAATTTTCTTTTATAATATTTTGTTATCCAGTCAACTGGTTTTACCACCTAATATATAAAAGAATTAATCTGCTTTATTCAATGATTCTAGGTTCTGCCCGGCAATTTTTGAAAAGTGCTCTACAACATTCAATTGGTTTATTCTACAACAATTTTTGGAAAATGTTTTATAACATTCAGTTATCTTTTATTGAATCATTCATTTTCATGGAAGTATATTTATATCCAAAATATGTTCAAGTGTTCTTTAAGAACTTTAGCGCTCAAAGTTAGATGCTCTGCACGGTCTGTTATGAAAGATCCTATGTTGTTTGAATATTTCCAAGATAGTGTATTTTATGGTACGCTCAATGGCAGAATTCTTTACTGCCCATTTGGTTTTGTCCTAACACAGAGATAGACATATAACTCTTTCCCTAGGTCACGGATTTCTCTTTCAGGTACTGTATTGATGATCTTCATGAGCCATTTTTTAATTACTGTAACAAATACCTGAAACAATTATGATATATGAAGGAAAATTTCATTTTGACTCAGTTACGGAGGTACTGATCTATGATTTGTTGACTCTGTAACTTTGGGCAAAGTGGCACATTAGAGGAGGAATGTGGAGAACAAAAATACTTTATGGCAGGGAAGTAGAAGGGAAGAATAAGACACTAATGTTCTATAATTGCATTTGAGGACACACCTACACTGAATTTAAAAAACTTGCATTAGATCCTACCATATAAAGGATTTACCACCACCCAATAGCTCCACTCTGGGGACCAACTCTTCCACATATGAGCCTTTGGGGGAGACTCAAGTTCTAAATTATAGAAGTCATTTTAAGGAATGTGTCCTGATTGAATTATTTTTTCTTCTGTGGAACATGAAGGATAGAAGGATAAAATCCTATCTATAGTAGTATTTAATGATTAATGCAGGCATTGATTTTTCTCAATAACAGATAATTTGAAATTGAATTTTCTACTTTGAAATTTAGAGGACTGAATTGTGGGAAAATACAGTGTATGGAACACCAATAGCACATTGTTCTCTCTATCCATTTAAAAACAGCACTTCAGAGGTCTTCCTTTCAATCAGGTTAACATGCTAGGGATAGAGAAGACTGAGGGAAAGGTTGGTAAATGGACTTTCTGGAGCCCCAGTCAAGAGTCAACCTGATGAACCAAAATACAGCTACATATAAATACAAGTTTTGACCGATAAAAATTTGAGAACCATTCACCCAGAGACATTCTTTGTCTGCTAGCTGTCAGAGAGCTTTGTAATCAGACCATAGTTTTTTTTTTTTTTTTTGTCTTTTTGAGACAGGGTCTCTATGCAGTTCAGGCTGGCCTTGAACTCACTTTGTAGCCCAGGCTAGTCTTGAACTTGCAACAATCCTCCTGCCTCAGCTTCCCGAGTGCTGGGATTACAGGCGTGAGCCACCAGGCCTGGTTAGACCATAGTCTTTTGATAATTCATAATATTACACATACTGAATTGTGTCTTGATGTCATTACTTTTTTTTGATTGTTATTAAGCTTCATTGCAAAATGCAGTCAAACAAATCTCAGAGTATATTTTTGATAAGACTATCACTGAGGATACTGCCTCTGATAACACACATGGTGCATCCCCATGAAGAACTATTTCAGAAATTTTCCTCTTGAACTAGGAAACAGGGGTCCTTTTATGCAATTCATTTTATTTAATTTTATGTACATTATTAATTTTCAAGTATTAATTAATTAGCTGTTAAGAAGATCTTGAATTTGGAATGCTCTCCTGGAAACTGTAAGTTTTACTTAGTAGGTTTACATGGAACTTTGTCTAGATTTCCTTTATTTATTAATCATGTGTCTCCATGTCTGTTTTTACTTTTATCTGGATGACTGCATCAATTTCTTGAAGTCTGTTTTGGATGAATTGAATATATTACACAGGATTCTCTGTTACAGGAGATAGAACATTCAATTCAAAGTGGCTTAGACAAAAAAGTTTTTCAATTATGTAACAGTAACAAACAAAAACAACTTCTCTCTGTCTCTCTCATTCTCTCTGTTTCCTGGTTCTCTCTGTTTCTGTCTTTTTGCCTTTATGTCTGTCTGTCTGTCTGTCCCTCTTTCTTTCTGACTCTTACCTTTGGTTATGCTGGCATTATTCCTAAATTAGTCCTTCTACTATGCAAGGTGGCTCACACCTATAATTCCAACACTCAGGAGGCTGTGGCAGGAAGATAACTGCAAGTTCAAGGCCAGCCTGGGCTA